TACCGCACTCCAGCCTGGGCGACAGAGCGAGACTCCATCTCAAAAAAAAAAAAAAAAAAAAAAAAGAAAAGTGGGCTGTCATCGTGCCATTGCACTCCAGCCTGGGCGATAAGAGCAAAACTCTGTCTTAAAAAAAAGAAAAGTGGGCTGTCAGTTGTGCTGGATGCCAATGCAGGGCATGCTGTGTGTTTGTCAAGTACCCCCTTGCTATGAATTCACTTCAAATACCTGGGCGTGTGCAGGCTTGACAGAAGTCCCCCAGCTTCTCTCAATGCCCTTGTAAGCTTGGTGCTGCTCTTTGCTCTAAAGTCCTGGACAAGAATTAACCATGTGGCTGGAAAAGGCATTATTTATTTATTTTTATTTTTGAGACAGAGTCTCACTCTATCACCCAGGCTGGAGTGCAGTGGTGCGAGCTTGGGTCACTGCAACCTCCGCCTCCCAGGTTCAAGTGATTCTGCAGCCTCAATCTCTGGAGTAGCTGGGATTGCAGGCATGCGCCACCACACCCGGCTAATTTTTGTATTTTTAGCAGAGGCGGGGTTGGCCAGGCTGGTCTTGAACTCCCGACCTCTGGTGATCCGCCCACCTCGGCCTCCCAAAGTGCAGTGATTGTAGGCGTGTGCCCCCATACCCAGCCAAAGGCATGTATTTAATATATCCCAGCCCCAGCCCCACCACACCATACCATATCAGTTCTTTTACTCACAGTCACCGAGAACCACGGAGAGGTAGAAATCCGAAGGCACCTCAACTGCAGTCACTGCCCTTTGAAAGACTGCCAATGGCAGGCAGAGCTCCAGTTGGCTGAGTGCCTGTGCCCAGAAGGCATGGAGCTAGCTGTGGATAACGTCACCTGCATGGGTATGTCCTACCTTTGCCCAAGGTCTGGACTCCTGGGGTCACAGACTGGGAGGAGCAGTAGGCCACTGGGAAAGATGGTATAGAGATTTGCTGCGTGCCAGGCCCTGTGGTGGGTGCTGGGCAGGGGACTGGAGATTCATGGGTGCACAGTGCCTTTCAGAGGCATGTCGTCCAGTGTGGGAGGCTGTTTAGATATAGCTATGTAAATGTATATCTCAAGTGACGATTGTTGTGGGAGGTATAAAGTGCCTTAGGGGTGTTCAAGAGGGAGAGGTTGCTTTTGCCCAGGATAATGGGGGAAGGCTTCATGGAAAAATTAACACTTGAGCTGAGTCTTGAAGCGTGGGTAAAACTTGAGGGTAGAGGAACAGAGAAGACCTTCCCACTGGAGGTGTCTCTCTTTCTCCCTAGACCTGCCCAACCCCCCAGGCCCTCTGGTTCTGATGGTGGCTGTGGTGGCAACCTCAACACTGAGCCTCTTTATGGTGTGTGGGGTCCTGATTCTGGGTACGAAGCATCTAGCAGGCACAGCTGATTCAAGGCTGCTCCTCTCCAATGAGCTGGGGTGGGCTTCTGTGGGGTCCCGGGGCTGACTTCACGACCACTCACCGCAGCAGAGCAGTGGTAGACTCCTGTGGGACTCTAAGATAGGAGGGAGCTGGGGAGGCCTGGGGAAAACGTTTACCAGAATGAGCACCTGGAGGGGTGTCCTGGACAGGTGGGGGAGGGAGACCTGATGGGCAGGCGGAGGGTGTGCCGTTATTCTCCCCACCCCCAGTGAAGCAGAAGAAGTGGCAGGGCCTGCGGGAGACGAGGCTGCCGAGCCCTGAGCTTGAGCTGAGCAAGCTTCGAACCTCTGCCATCAGGACGGCCCCCAATCCCTATTATTGCCAGGTGGGGCTTGGCCCGGCCCAGTCCTGGCCTCTGCCCCCAGGTGTCACCGAGGTTTCCCCAGCCAGTGTTACTCTGCTGAGGTGAGTCTTCTGCCTCTTCCTGAGAACCTGTGCAGTCTGAATCCCCACCTCTGATTCTCTCCCTGCTGTAGTGAATTATAAATCCCAGAAAAAATCTGGCCCACATCCCTTGCGTACGGGAGAGGGAGGCCGTGAGAAGCTCCAGAAGGGCAAGGAACTTGCTCAAAGTCACCTCTCCGTCCCAGTTCTTAGAATATGATCTCGCAGCTGGGCGTGGTGGCTCACGCCTATAATCCCAACACTTTGGGAGGTCGAGGCGGGCAGGTCACCTGAGGTCGGGGGTTTGAGACCAGCCTGACCAACATGGAGAAACCCCATCTCTACTAAAAATACAAAATTATGTGGGCGGGGTGGGGCATGCCTGTAATCCCAGCTACGTGGGAGGCTGAGGCAAGAGAGTCGCCTTAACCCGGGAGGCGGAGGTTGTGGTGAGCCGTGGTGAGCCGAGATCGCACCATTGCACTCCAGCCAGGGTGACAGAGTGAGACTCTGTCTCAATAAAAAAAAAATATGATCTCACTCCTGTAATCTCAGCACTTCGGGAGGCCAAGGCAGGCGGATCACCTGAGGTCATGAGTTCGAGATCAGCCTGGCCAACATAGTGAAACCCTGTCTCTACTAAAAACACAAAAATTAGCCAGGCATGGTGGCACGTGCCTGTAATCCCAGCTACTCAGGAGGCTGAGGCAAGAGAATCACTTGAACCCGGGAGGCAGATGTTGTAGTGACCCGAGATTGCACCATTGCACTCCAGCCTGGGTGACAGAGCGAGACTTTGTCTTAAAAAAAAAAAAAAAAAAAAAGAGAGAGAATATGACTCTTGGAGCCCAGGGATCGCCTCCCTCCCAGGGCATCTGCAGGGACACCAGGGAAGTCCTCATCATGCACTCTCACCTTGACTCTGACCCGCACCTGCCTTCTCTTTTGCCCTGGCTCTATGCCAGTCAGCATCACCCTTGCAGGGCTTCTACTTGGGGACATGCCATGGTATGGAGACAGTCTATATAGGGTCAGCTGGGCATATGGCAGGGGCAGGGGAGGTAAAGGGGATACTAGACTCTCTAGGGCTCTTCTCCAGGCTGCCTGCCCACTCCCTTCCAACCTGTCTTCCTGCAGAGCCCTGGGCCATGGTGCCTTTGGGGAGGTGTATGAGGGACTGGTAATTGGCCTTCCTGGGGACTCCAGTCCCCTGCAGGTGGCTATCAAGGTGAGAGGATTGGGACTTGTGGCTGGGGGTAGAAGAGTGGAACACCCTGAAGGGAAGGACAATGACTACAGCTAGGGTTAACCCCCCTCCCGATGTGTCCAGGGCAACTCAGAAACTGTGCCCTTTTCCTCCCCAGACCCTGCCAGAACTCTGCTCTCCTCAGGATGAGCTGGATTTCCTCATGGAGGCACTCATCATCAGGTGCATGCGGGACCAGGGGCAGGGCTGGAAGGCGGGAAGGGAAGGCTCAGGAACAGCTTCTCTTCACCCTGAGGCTGAGGTAGCAAGTCAGGGGACACAGAGGGCCTTTCCAGCTTTGTGGAGCCTAGAACATAGTTTCCATCTCCCTGCTGGTGACGGGATATGTCCACCACCCCACTCAGCAAGTTTAGCCATCAGAACATTGTGCGGTGTGTGGGGCTCAGCCTCAGGGCCGCCCCTCGCCTCATTCTGCTGGAACTGATGTCTGGAGGGGACATGAAGAGTTTCCTGAGGCACAGTCGTCCACACCTGGTGAGACCCTTGTCTCAGCCCCCCAGGCCCCTCTAAAGACCCTGTCCATGTGTCTGAGACCTGCATGGACTGATGTCCCTCTGCCTGACCCAGGACCAGCCATCACCTCTGGTCATGCGGGATCTGCTGCAACTGGCCCAGGACATAGCCCAGGGCTGCCACTACCTGGAGGAAAATCACTTCATCCACAGGTTAGGAGCAGTCCTGGCTCAGGGGACCCCCATCCCCACTCTCTCCCCAAGGAACAGCCCTTCCACACAGCTTTTAAGGAAATAGATCAGGAAGAGCAAGAACTTCTGAATTCTGGCAGTGATTTTTTTGCCTACTCTGTAGGGATATTGCTGCGCGGAACTGCCTGCTGAGCTGCACTGGGCCCAGCCGTGTGGCCAAGATTGGGGACTTCGGGATGGCACGAGATATCTACCGGTGCGGAACTTGGGGAGGTGGGAAGGCTCTTGCTCCAAGGGGGTTTTGCCTGCACCTTGGTGGTAAACAACTCATCATTCACCTCCTCCCTCCTGTAGGGCCAGTTATTACCGCAGGGGGGACCGGGCCTTGCTCCCAGTCAAGTGGATGCCCCCAGAGGCCTTCCTGGAGGGCATCTTCACATCCAAGACAGATTCCTGGTGATAATACCCTTCCCCTTCTCCTCTGTTCCCCTCCCCTGAGGCTAATCCTGTCCTTTCCAGCCACCTCATGTGAGGGGAGGCTGCACCTGACGGGTCTCACTTGGTTCCCCCACTTGTGATGCAGGTCTTTTGGGGTGCTTCTCTGGGAGATCTTCTCACTGGGCTACATGCCCTATCCTGGGCGCACCAACCAGGAGGTGCTGGACTTCGTCGTTGCAGGGGGCCGGATGGACCCTCCTAGGGGCTGCCCAGGGCCTGTGTGAGTTGAGTGCTGCCTGGGAAGGGAGGTCCTTCACAGCCATGGGTGGGCATGAACTCTTGCCTCTCCCCAGGTACCGCATCATGACCCAGTGTTGGCAGCACGAGCCTGAGCTCCGCCCCAGCTTTGCCAGCATCTTGGAGCGTCTTCAGTACTGCACTCAGGTGTGCCCCTGACCTAATCTGACATCCTGGTCTTGTGGGTCAGGAGGCGGGGCCAGAAAACTCTATGCCCGGTGCTGCCTGACTCTTCCATTACAGGACCCTGATGTGCTGAATTCACCCCTGCCAATGGAGCTGGGGCCCACCCCAGAGGAGGAAGGGGCTTCTGGGCTGGGGAACAGATCTTTGGCGTGCCTAAGACCCCCACAGCCCCAGGAACTGAGTCCAGGGAAGTTGAAAAGTTGGGGAGGTAGCCCTCTTGGCCCCTGGCTTTCCTCTGGCCTCAAGCCCCTCAAATCCAGGGGCCTCCAACCTCAGAACCTCTGGAATCCCACCTATCGCTCCTGAGCCCCAAGGAGCCCTGAGGGTGAGGACTGAGGCACTGAGGGTCCCTCCCTGTACTCCTCAGGCTCCTGGGTGGCCTGTTATGCCAGCGGCCCCTGTTCCCTGCAGTCTGTGCTCCGTGTCTGGGCCTGTCTCGGAGCTGGCCTGGCAGCACTGCACTTGCCATGCCGGAAACCAGCCCAGGCCTCCCAGGGAAAGGCCCAGCCACTTCCAGCTTTTGATCTTTGGGCCAGAGGCCACCTTACACACACCCCAGGTGTCCATGGGGAGCACTGGATTGCCCTCCTACTATGAGCATCCTTCATCTGGGCAGAACCCCACCCTGCAGATGCTTCTAATAAAAAGCGCTTCTCATCTTCCAGCGATCTGAGTGGATGCCAGGGATACAGGAAGAGAGCACCAGAGGAGGGAGGGGCGGAGGGCTGAGGCACAGGAAGCTGCATCTTGTCTTTGAGTTTTATTAGGAAGGGGAGTCCATCGTAGTGTGAGAGGTTAGACCAGAAGGTCTAGGCTTGCTAAATAAAATCCACGGTCTGGCCCCTCTGGAGAGGGCAGAGCCTCCTCAGAAAAGCTGGCCTGAGGAAGAAGCCCTTTGCCCCCTCCCCTCCTATAAGTTAGTGTCATTCGGCTCTGGGAACGCTGGGGCCCGGGGTGGGCGAAACCCCTGGCATCGGCAGTGCCCCCCCTTAGTGGTTGGCACCTGGCCCTGCCGGACCCGGTGAACTGCCCTGCACCGCGGGGCTCCAGTCTCAAGCCGGCATGCACGGTGGGGACAAAGCTGCAGGTCCACATGTCAGGGCGGCGGCCCACGGGGACAGGAGTCCAGCCTCATCTCTCAGCCAGGCTGGCCAGGATGCCAATGAGATTGTCCAGCCCCAGCAAATAGCCGTCCTCGCGATTGCCCTCCTCCCAGGGCCGCCGGTGGTCCAGGATCTGGCCATCGGGGAGGGGCGTGGTCTTGCCGAAGTCGATGAGCCACACGCCGGCGCGATGGCAGTGATCGTGCACAAAGAGGAGCGAGCTGCCGATCACCTGCGAGCCCCGCATGGTCAGGCCGCCGGCCCTGCCCAGAGACGCCCCCGCCGGGTTCCCGCCCTAGCCCTCGCGGCCAGGCACCCAGGCGGCCACGGCTTACCTCGTGCCTCCTGAAGAACTCAGAGACCTCCAGGGTGTCCCGGATCTGCTGCAGGCGGTTCAGATACCGCCTCTGCAGAGGGTGGGTGGGAGAGGAGGGCAAGTTAATTAAACGCCAAGTGAGCCCCTGCTAACGATAAGGAGCCGGGACCCAGGCTGGGCTTGGCAAATGCCGCTGTGAGGAAGACCCAGGACGCCGCCCGGCGTGGCCCAGAAGGGAAGGAGCCTAGAGCAGTTGCGACCCAGTGTGGTGAAGGCCACGGTGGGGACACAGCTGAGGGCACTGAGCCGGATGACAGGGGCAGTCCCTAGTTTCAGGCTCCCTAACACCTCAGGGTTGGGATCCCGCTCTCACCAGCACTTCCTCGTCTCCTTGCACAAACTCTTCAAAGACGCGAAGCACCTGCTCCCGGCTTCGCGTAGTCTTGAAGTCGGTGCTGCAGGAACCGTCCGCTTTCTGGAGGTGGGACAGGAGTGTCAGGGGCCCCAGGCCCGCCAGTGGGGAAGAGGACAACCTAGGGCAGTGGTACCTCCCAGTTGCAGGGGACTGCGAGGCGGTGGGAGAGGGTGGAGGGGCAGGCAGGGCGCGAGCGGAGGAGGTGGGCGCCGACAGATCGGGAAAGACAGGGCGCAGTGGGGCTGGGGCGGTGCCAGTCGAAGCGCGCCTGCCCCACCTTGATGCCCTCGATGCGGAAGCCGAGCGTGGTGCTGGAGCTGATGCCTTCCCGCCACTGCATGTAGCGTGGCTTGGTGACTGCGCGCTGCGCGTGCTCCTCCTCAGTGGGCGCTTCAGGGTCCACCGCCAGCATCTTCTTGTACATGTCCTTCCGTAGCTTGGGCCGCTCACGGGCCTTGGTCAGCTCCTCCTCTAGGTAAGTCCTGTGGGGGCGCGGGCAGCGGCCAGGGCATAAGGGGGCGCACACGGAGACCCCTTCGAGCTCTCGCCCCGGGCCCCCCTCAAGCAGTTGTCCCAGCCCCGGACCCCCACTTGATCCCCCAACCAACCTGGCAGGGCACGCATACCTGACGCCCATTTTGCAGTCGAGCACACAGGGCCCGTCGAAGCCATCTAGTAGGTCCTGCAGCTGCAGGTAGCTTTCGCCGTCATGCTCCACCACGCCGTGGAAGGCAGGCACGCAGCCGCGCAGCGCGTCAGCCATCAGCCTCGCCAGGCAGTAGCGCTCCGGCTCCGAGCAGCGCTTCAGGATCAGCCCGCTGGTGCCCGCCGCCTTAAAACTCCCTGTGGACCTGCATCCGTCAGCGCCGCCCAGCCCCTTCCCGTCGCGGGCACCTGCCCACCCGCCCCGCGGCTCACCTGTGTGCCCTGCCAGCTGCACCCAGGCGTAGCGCTTCTTGAAAGGGCTTATGACCGGCAGATTGACCATGGTTCGGATCTTCTGCCAGTGGCTTTTCTGAAAGCGACAGGGTCAAAGTCTGCAAATCGGTGTCTCGGCAATGCATAAGCCCTCCCTCCACTGAAACAGGGTCTCACCACGCCCCCGACCCACCGGAAGCAGCTGGGGCTGGATGAGTCATTCATTCATTCATTCACTCTGGGAAGGTTTAGTGTGCGCCTGTGTGGCGGGCGCTGATACAGGCGCAGTGAAGGTGATTCCAGCGTCTCCAATGAGCTGTCAAGAGCCTGGACTTAGCATCTGAAGCCCCCGGTTTACGCTCCAGCTCTGCCACTGAAGAACGCGTGGACAAGTTACGAAAATGCTCTGTCGAGGTGTTTGAACTGTTGTGAGCATCGGAATTACCTGATGGTCACCCTTGTTAAAAATTGCAGATTATCAGGCCTACCGCAGGGAAATTCTAAGTAGGTCTAGAGTAGGGCCAATTTTTTTTTTTTTTTTTTTTTCCAGATGGAGTCTTGCTCTGTCGCCCAGGCTGGAGTGCAGTGGTGCGATCTCGCCTCACTGCAACCTCTACCTCCAGGGTTCAAGCGGTTCTCTTGTTTCAGCCTCCCGAATAGCTGAGACTACAGGTGCACACCACCACGCGCAGCTAATTTTTTTGTATTTTTAGTAGAGACAGGGTTTCACCACATTGGTCTGGCTGGTCTCCAACTCCTGACCTCAGGTGATCCACCCACTTCGGCCTCTTCAAAGTGCTGGGATTACAGGCATGAGCTACCGCACCCAGCCCCCAAATTTTTATTACTACCAATGCCTCAAAAGATTCCAGGACCCAAGAAACAAGCCTCTGTGCATCCGTAAGAAAAGGATCTACAAAATGAGGCAATAACTATCCTTACTGGGTTGCTGTGAGTAGTAAATAAGTCTTGAGCATGACAGGCGCCCAGCTCCCCCATCCCATTCCATGATATGAGGCAGAAGCTGAACAAATCTCAATCACTGATTCCTTCACTTGGGACCTTGGTTCCTCTCATTTAGGGGGAGACAGACATACACAGAAACAAACCTGTACACAGGCCCAGGGCAGGGAGGCCAGCCTGGCAGGGCCTGGAGAAAGAACAGGCTGGGGCTCTCCAAGCCCCTCTTGCTATCCCTGGATTCCATGCACTCATTAGCTGGCAAGGCCCAGGGCACCCTTGGTTTTGATCTAGACCCAGAAATTTTAAGCCATGAAAATAAGGTGCAGGGCTGGGCGTGATGGCTCACGCCTGTAATCCCAGCACTTTGGGAGATCGAAGTGGTTGGATCACGAGGTCAAGAGATCAAGACCATCCTAGCCAACATGGTGAAACCCTGTCTCTACTAAAAATACAAAAATTAGCTGGACATGGTGGCATGTGCCTGGTCCCAGCTACTCGGGAGGCTGAGGCAGGAGAATCGCTTGAACCCGGGAGGTGGAGGTTGCAGTGAGTCGAGATCGAGCCACTGCACTCTAGCCTGAGATTCCATCTCAAAAATAAAATAAAATAAAATAAAATAAAATAAAATAAAATAAAATAGAATAAGGTGCAAACCTGAGGGCCTGTCAACTTAGACAAACCTGGGAAGGAGATGGAGGGTTTTTTTTTTTTTTTTTTTTTTTTTTTTTGGTGTGTCCCTTATCTTTTCTAGCCTCCAGCTAATCCTGAGAGCATCCCATCCTCTGGACCTCTCCTTGTCCCACCCACAACTCAGCAGCCCTGTGTCCTCTCTGAAGTGCACAGGTTGGCTCATGTCAGCTGCGTCTGCTGCCTCCCCCCAGAGGCGCTTGCCTTTTAGCACAGTTACACATGTTATGCCCCCACAGGAATATACCTCCCTGACAAGAGGGAGTTCTAAGAGAGAGAGGGAGAACTGAGGGGGTGGCCTAAGTAGAGGAGGGCTGCTGACCATAAAGCCCTTTCCCATGGGGAGGAAATGGAGGTTATGACAGAGCACTGGGTGAGGGAGTCAGTAGTTGGCTGCAGTCATGGCTGTGTCACCTTCCATCCGAGTGAACCCAACCAAATACTGCCATCTGTGTGGGCCTGTTTCCCCTGAGAGGACATAGCTGCTGCCGTAACATGAACCATCAAATGCTGCCTGCCTATTGCATGTCAGGCACTTTCTCATCTTTCATCAGGCAGCATTGCTCCCACTTTCCTACCGAAGCCCTTACATGGCACACTAGGGTGTGATCACGTGCCCAGTCCCCAGGGATCTGGGGGTGTAGCCAGAAGCAGCCCACTAGAAGCATGACATCACTTTCAAACTCCTTTTGAAATCTTTAAATACACAGCAGGTTTGCATTCTGCTGCATAATAAATCCAAGTTTTATTATAAAACTCACCACCTCCAAACCCTCAAGTAAAATTCCAAGAAGATGATATATGTGCCATGTATATTCAGCAGCACCATCCTGTACCCCCTTCTCCCACACTCAGTTTGAGAGCCATAACGAATGCACATGCATAGCAAGTGCATGAAGTGGTATTATTCCCATTTTACAGAAGGAAATCAAGGGGAGTTACATCCTCTCACGCCCTGCTCCAGCCTCCACATCTCTGGCTGAAGCTCTGTATCAGCCCATCCTCCCTCCCCATGTTTCAATTGCCCCAGCAGGTTCCAAAGTATCCCCAGCAGGATGCTACCATCCTGCCTCCCTTTGGGGGTTAAATGGGATATGGCATGAGAAAGTGCTTTGTATGTGGTGAAGTGAGGTGCAGCATTAAGGCAGTCTGAGTATTGACTTCTGGGGAACACTGAGACCTGCCTGGGGGCCCTCTCTACTGGATGGTCACCTTTGCCTTTATCCAAAAGAATGAATTTAATGGCTGTAGGGACCT